TAATTTGGGAACATATCTCCGGCTGAGGACTTGGATGTAATTCCTTTACACAGAATTGCCATCTACTGTGTTGCCCACCTAAATTGTAACTATAAATAAAATTGTAACCAGCATTAAGTCTATAATACACAACTGGGTAATTGTAGTCATGACGCTCAATGTTACTGCGTTTATGGTCACTTGACCATCTGCGTTGGATCTGGTAGTTGCATTGTTCGGTTAATAAATTTACTTTTTCCAGAACAAACATAGCCTGCTTATGATTATCATCGTCATCTTTGGGCTCATTGTGACCTTTAAACCGGTTAGCGTGCATTACGATTATATTACAATACTCATTATCAGCGGTTGCAACAAAAACACTGCACCCAGAAAGCATAGAAGTAACAAATATAGAGCTTGTCCTTTGTACATATGGTAAAAACGTGTAAGATACTCTGTTATGTCCATCTATAGGAAGAAGAACCGCTTTAGGGCGCATTCTAAAGAAAGAGAGCAAATTATTTTTTGGAGCAGCTCTTATTGTATATACGTCCTTCCATTCACCTGCAACAAAATCACATTCGACGGGATCCCAACAATCAAGTCTCCACATCGTTCCATTTTCGAAATGTCCTTTTTGATGTAAAAATCTTTGCATTTCTTTCCGACAGCCGTCCTCGTGATTGTTTTGGTCACCTGCGATTAAGAAACCTTTCTTTTCCCGCAATAGATGTAAAAAGTTGTTCGTGACATCTATGTTGTTCCCTCCTATAAAAGCGTTTGCGTCTGAAACAAAAGGAAAACAATTTATCAGATCTTCAAATAATATACGAGTACAAAGAGGAAACCAAAACAAAACAAAAGTCAAAATTTCAGCCTGAATTTAGAGAATAATTTGATTATATCAATTAAAATGAGAAAGTTATTTTGTGTATAATTTTAAAGGCTCGTTTGCACTGACGTTGTTTATAAACATAAATCGTCTTTTTTGATGTTATGAATATTTGTTGACAAATGCTTCAGCAATGCGGATAAAATAAAGTCAGAATAGCTCTAACACAGGATATAAAAACTGCTTGAATACATTCAAAGATCTATTAGAAAGTATTAAAGTCTAAATCATTGTTATGTAATCACAGATAAACACTTTCCGAACTAGCAGGCTATTCTTATATCAGTAGTTTTTCGAGTAAAGATAACCGGTTGCGTATCTCACTGTATAAATTAAATATAAATCGTATGCAAAATGGTCTGACATATAGTTGGTTTAACAGTTAATTTAAAAAAGATATGTTGAAGTATAGACTGTGACGAAGCTAAGATCCAACGCTTTCCATTGGTGTAATAAATCTTAAAATCGGACATTAAATCACAACAACCAAGCGGTTTAGAAACGGTTTCATTTGTATCGTTTAAGCATTAGAGATATCGATTAAAACACAATTCCAAATATTTCAAAACCTGTTTCACAGGCAGAAAACCAGTTTCACAGCATTATCGAAGGATATGTGACATACATTGAAGAAAAAAATAATTTGCATGCATTGCTCCTAAAAATAATGACGTACAGCAATTTATATTTACCCCTACCAAGCAAAAATCACACGGGAAATATACCAACATGTGCAATCTTCATGAAGATGCAGCTTACTCCCGAATTCCCCCGATTCCTTTAAAAACATCCTTAACAAACAGTGCAATCAATGGCATTTTCAAAAATGACCAATAAAGTGTCTTCATACGTTTAGATTTTTCACAAAATGTATCCAAAATTTCATCAAAGCTACCAAAATGCTTAGTTTCGGGTAAAAACCCAAAAATACTGCTCATTTCCTACACACAAATAAAAAAGAATTACAATGACATAGAAATATCAAAGGTTTCCAGTACATTCCACCATGTCTGAGTTATTTAAAAAATATGACCGGGGTCATCATTAGGATATGTCCCCTGCCCCCTAAATGTGTGTATTGTAATTATTGTCATTTCGCCCTTTTATGTAAAGTGCCGTGGCGTTTTGATTTTCACACCCACACCCGCCAAGCAGTAGCAGTTAGATGGTATAACCTCCGCTAGATATCCCAGCTCTTTGTGACAGACACCCATATTATTGACCAGGCAGATCGGTGATTATAAGAAACTCGTTACTTTTTCACTGCATTGTTCCATACATTTCTACATATTTTCACGCATTTATCCATAAAGTATTCTCCATATCCCAAAAAATTAAATGGTCTGCTCTGTAAAAACTTAACTTATTTTCAACGCTATCCGACATACTGCACCCTAAAAAAATTCGCTCCATTCTCCGATATTATAATAATTGCTCTGTAATAAAGTCTGTATAGTCTTCACTCATTGCATGCAATGCTCATGATCCGATATTCCACAAACTGCTCCGACTTTTCTCATTTTCCACCGCGACGGGCTGGGGTTTCTATCGGGATCAACAGTAATGTGTGCATTTTGTCTGATATGCCAGTGTACTTAGGCTCTATTTCTTGTGATTCAGCCTAAATTCCATTTATTTTCTCATTTCAACATTGAGCAATATAAATTTAAATTCCTTAATTCCTTAATATAAGTTTAATTCCTATCTAAAAATGTGTCAGTATGATTTTGTTTCTAATACATTTTATTGTGTTGTAATGTTTGTTCACTGTAGCAATTGTTATAAACCAGACTGACAGTATTTTGGATGGTGATCATATTGACTATTGCTGACGTTATACAATGTTTGAACGCTTAAAATATTCTGAAAATACATTTACCTTTATTAGTTTCACAAATCGATGCACCAGTGACAGAGAGTAGACCGACAGTTATGATTAGAAAAATATCTGGAAATAGATAATGAGTACTCAATACAATTCATTTTAATGCAAAATTATCAGAATAATTAAATTATGCCAGGCATTTACAAGTATGTTATTTTCAGATGTTAAAAAATTGTTGAATATTTCAATTTACAAGAATGAATTTTTCGAAAAGTATGTTTGTTTTTGTCCATACATGAATTATGAAAAAATAGAATTAAACGTTCCAGATAAAAATTAAGAACTCCTATTTCTAGAAGTTTTGTAATCGAAAGCCATCTTTTTGATCTGATATTCAAAATAGATATTTTGGTATGATTTTTTTATCTGAATTTAATCTTTTATTTAGAATACAATATCGCTTTATTTAATTAACTGTCAAAGAAAATTGAAAAAAAACAATACCTGCTTTTTTGTGTAAATCCATTTTATCGCGTTCCTATTAATGGGTTTTATTATACACTATGAAAAATGATGACTAATGTAAAGTCATTTCTTCCGGGTTACGCGGTAAAACTTTACTATTCCCCTTTAAACTATAAATAGATCAGAGTAATGTAAATATAATTTCATGTCTTTATAGGTATGGCGAGGCAGATTATTGAACTAAAAGCTTAGACAAATATTCGAAACTGACAGTGTATGTTTGTTCTAAATACATAAGCAATACATGTTGGAAAATGATACACACTTGACCAAAAACAATTTGAAAATTGTACAATTTGGTTAAATGTTCAGAGCTAAATTTAAATGAAAATCAATTATCGTTTTTTTTTAACTCAAACTTAATTGAATTTCTGTTTCACTACATAAAATGTATACAGTTATGTTATATTCTTGAAACAGATTATATACACTGCACAGCTATCACCGAAAAGTATTATATTTACTTCTTTCCTTCTTCTTTTTCTTCTATCAATTTTGTTTTATTATTTACATCAACATATTATATATATATATATATCATAAAGTAAATGCATAATTGTCAATTTCTATTACTGTCTTTGATTACTTCTGTCATTATCATATGATACGTATCATTATTATTATTACAATCATAATAAATCATCATTATCATCATCTTTTATTTTTATTTTATACAAAATTATTATTATCAGTTTTTCTGTGTTGTATTTTATCATGAAATCTCAATTCTTTTAGGTTCATATTATCGTCATTTAATAACCGCCAATATTAAACGTTTAAGTAAACATTGGAAATTACAGGTTTCGTTTTCGGTCGTGTCATTTGTTTCGATTTCGATTGATGAGTTAGTACGTAAATAGTTTTAGTTTTGTTTAATTTTATGTAAGCACAAACATTTAACAAAAAAATGAAATCAATATAATTCTTTTAAACCTGACGTTTTCAGATGGGTAACAAAAGTTTTAAACTATCAAACATACGGCAAATATGTCATTATAAACATTGGAAATTAGAGGTTTTGTTTTCGGCAAAGATATTTTGTAAAGATATTTCACGATCCAAGATCATAGATTAATTTTTTAAAATGGCGTCAAGTTGATTTATTTTGATTTCTGAATTTGCTGTCAGAAGAAAATGCACTAGGCTATCTAAAATATTACTGTTTATTTACTTGAGATTATCTGTACTGAATAAAATAATATTGGAATTCAAGAATCAGGAAGCACGCGATTGAAAAAGAAGGTTTGTTGATTTTGTTCAAATGAACTTTATATTTGAGACAATATTTTTTTTTAAAAAAAGGATCATAAAATAACAGAAGTCACTTATGTATTACATTTGCCCCCAGCTAATATTTAATTAAATGTGTGCCTACAGCATAACTTTTTACACAATTTTTATTTGTTATCCCCGTAATTTTTTAATTTGGGATTGTCAATGCCCTGTTAAGAACACAGCGACTGTACATATCTAAGAAAATTGTGGTTTCAGACTAAAGTTAAAATATCGACTCATTGTGCAAATTTCGCGTGAAACGGTGCACCGTAAGAATGAGACTGTCGTTGAAATTAACAAACCATACGCCTTCAGATTTTATGAAAATTAATTAGGCATAAAGTTTATCTGTAGAGAGCCTTAGTAGAGTTTAAAATGAATATCTCAGAACATATCATCACTATTGTAAAATCAATCAAAGATCATCTTTGTATGGTATATATGAAATAAAAGTTTGAAAATTATTTGTCTTTCCTTTTGTTTAAAAACACTTCAAATTACCTAAAGAATGAGTATTGTCGATGGACTTTGCAACAAGCGCTTATCATATGTAGCATTTCTCATCGGAATGTAACCTGGAATAAAAGGTCGAAATTGAGTTTGTGCTAAACAAGTCTTCCTCCTTAGTTAATTAATATTGAACGGAAGTAGCAGTTGCTTGTAATTGTATAACATGGTATAAATTGAAGTATATAGGCTTGCAAGACAAGATACATAAATTCTTTATTCACTGACATTCTATCTAAATATCTTTGAATTTCAACTAAGTTGTAATATGTTTGTTCAACAACTTCAAGCTTTCTTTTAACTTCTATTTAACTGAAAAATCAAAGGTCACACTTTTTTCCGGATTGCTAACTGTTGATTAATTTCTCGGGCTGTGCGTCGTTTATACAGAGATAAGTTTGCAATTTGTAGAATAACAGAACAGTTCGTTCTCAAAATCATTCGAACATTATGCAATTCACACCAATATTTAAATGGGCATATTCTCCGTGCAACGAAGATATTTTTCTTTACCTCTGTCTTTGTGTTGAATTTATTTTAAGACACCAATCATTTCAATTTTACTTGTTGTCCTATTTATTTTGCTTCGACATGACCTTTCAATCTTTGTTGGAACAGATCCACAAACATTTCAGAATTTCAGCCATATCAGCATTACTTTGTGAATTTATGCATTAGGTTCTTCTTTTTCACAAAAATATGCAACTTAACTACATGTATTAAACAACGCGCACATACCAAGAACATGGAGACAAAATTAATTAGTGCTTCGGATATTCAACATTTTCAAGGCTGATTCTGTACATTACCCGTGACTGTTCACATCATTTGGCGGCGTCTTTGATGTGCCGCATCAACATTTACTGATTTAGGTGGGAGTTTCATCCCCATGATTAGGATTGAGAACTTTTACAGTGTTGGAGCACCACACTTTATTTTTCCGGTATTTTCATGAGGTTCCAGCGGGTTTATACATGACTCTTTGGTTATTTGTATATCCCAAACTATACTTGAACACTTATTGCTTGTTTGAATGCCTTGAGAAATACAAAGTTACCCCGATGAAAACTAAGTTATTCCATATATTTCTTAACACTTCCTGTATTTCCTGAATTACTGTAATTTGAGCCGTGTCACGACAAAACCAACATAGTGGGTTTGCGACCAGCATGGATCCAGACCAGCCTGCGCATCCGCGCAGTGTGATCAGGATCCATGCTGTTCGCTATCAGTTTCTCCTTATTGTAATAGAGTTGGTAAGCGAACAGCATTAATCCTGATCAGACTGCGCGTAAGCGCAGGCTGGTCTGGATCCATGCTGGTCGCAAACCCATTATGTTGGTTTTGTCGTGACGCGGCTCATTTATTAATACCAACAGGGACAAGCGTACTTACTCTGAGGTCACTTTCAAAAACCGAAGAAAAAATTTAAATCTCATAATATCTAAATAAATTATACGCGGTCTTAGATAATATGTATGCCGTGTATAATATTTTTATAGGTATGGTGAGGCAAATTATTGAACTTAAAGCTTAGACAAATATTCGAAACTGACGGTATATGTTTGTTCTAAATACATTAGCAATACATGTTGAAAATTATAAGCACTTGACTAATTACAATTTGAAAATTATACAATTTGATTAAATGTTCAGAGCTAAATTTTGTTTAGAAAAGTAAGATATCTTCATAAATCGACAGCAGCCGTGTATATAAATCTATATACACGTAACGATTATCCAGTGAAAAGCGACGTTACAAACGTGCAGTATTATAAGTTCAATTCAAATCAAAGTAGAATACATATCTAATTCTAACACGTTAGTTAGCTCAGCGCCGCCATTATGAAACTCTTGGACTGGTTCTGTATTTGAGCTATAATTAGATTTCCAGACGCTTTTGAAAAACCATGTGGTGAAAACGCCAACAAAATTCAGACTGTTACTAGAAGACGCGACAGTCATCTGTCCTAAATAACACTTCCGGTAGTGGCATGATGTAAAAAATCAGTAAATAAATATTATAATCATTTTATCATAATTAAGAAGAACTGAAGTAACGATGATTAACATAAAAAAGATACTTTATAATATCGAGGACTTATTTCCAATTATAGGAGAGTAATTAATAAAATTTGAAAACATATAAGAAATAACATATATTTGAGATATTTCAGGTAGAGATTTATGAAATATAAGATTAGTGTCGAGCTTTATCGAGCCAAGATTTCCTTTCGCAACGGACAGGACAAACCTCCGATCCCCATCAACAATATAGTCGAAGAATCATGTTTTGCCTAGTTTTATCATGTTTTATTTTATTTTAAGGGTTCCATTCTTTTTCTTTCCTGCCAAAACAGATTCAACGTGTAATTTGAGACTTCTGAAGCAGAAGTGAGGGAAAATTTGCAATCAGACGCAATGTCCGATATCAAATATTACGAAGGAACTTCGCCTCGTCCGAGGATCGAATTAACGACCCCTTGATAAACCGATGATGTGCCTAGTGATCTTCCTATTAAACTTAGCGGATGTTATTTTTTTAAATCTAATACATCCTGTGTTTCACAATACAGTGAACTTTAAAGCCTTAACCAACATTATTGTTCTGTAAATCTGAAATATTCATCTTGAAAAATTTAGGATTTAAATAGTAAAATACAAAAAGCTGATATATTATCTATATGAAGGTTCGATATTGCATGCTCGTCCGGTTTCCACTGGTGAAAACAGGCTAGCGTTTGTGTACATTTCAGTTAAATAACTTCCGCATCTTGAGATTATAAATGCACGTTAAGTGTTTGAGGAAATTACATATATCTTAGTTAATTGGAAGAATATAGGAAATAAGAAACATTTATAGTCGTTTTACATTTTTATTGCAACTAATTTGCAAAACTATGTACAGTTATTATGTTAACTATATAATTTTTATGGAAAATGTAATGTTTTGTAAGTATGTGGCTAATTCTTAACTGTTGAAATGTATAAATGGGATTATCCCAGGAATTATTAAGAATACTTTGATTTTCTCCAAATTTTAACAGGTGCAATCTTTAAATTACAAACATAAACGGAATTAATTTGATAAAATCTATATTTGAATGAATAATCGACTAATTGGAATATCCAAACTAAACAACAACAACAAAACAAAAAGAAACAAAACCATTTGTATTCTTCATAAATAAAGAGATGGTTGAATTTAGCCACCACTTTAATTTATTTGTACTAGACTCGATACAGTTTCAAATAAAACATGGACAGAATGATGCTACTCACTTTGTTTCCTGTAATTTAATGGATACTCAGACAGTCGTTACTTCTTCCAATAACTTAGGACATATACATTATAATACATAAACAACACCATAATTTTGTTGGGTTTCTGATAGCACCAACAAAGTATAGGTCATATGGGGGATTTTACGGACAGTGGAAGACCTCAGGTGCCCCTCTATGTATTATTTCAGGCACAAACAGGTGTCTGCGTAGAAAGATGTGGCACAAAGATGACATGTGTGTATTTTTATTGTTTTCGTGCGCACGAAAATATGATAAACAAGATCAACAAGTAAAGGCGGCGTTCAATGAACGCAACCCCCACATGATCCAGCAGCAAGAACATTCTATGAAGTCCGGACATGGAGGGAGACACCAACACTGAACGCCGAACAATCCCTTCAGGATGAAAATTTAACAACATTGATTGCATGTACGGGGAGACTTTTTATGTCGTGGCCACGAGTTACTAAGTCATGACTTAGTAACTCGTGGCCACGATATAGTTAACTCGTGGGAACGAGATGTTATGTCGTGGCCACGAGTTACTAAGTCATGGCCACGAGATAGTTAAGTCGTGGGAACGAGTTACCAAGTTTTGGGCAGGAAATAGTTAAAAAGAGAAAAACAAAATCCCTGGGATAATTAAGTCGTGGGAACGAGATATTATGTCATGGCCACGAGTTACTTAGTCGTGACCAAGAGTTATTAAGTCGTGGGAACGAGATACTTAACCAATCAGATTACACTTTAATATTTTAAACTTAGACAATTTATGTTTAAAGATTTACATGCAACATTAATGTTTGAAAATACTGAGGTGTTTAATTTAAACTTGATACATGTCTTGAGGAGCAAATTAGAAATGCACCTTCTTAGGCCCATAAATCAACCATTTATTTTGACTAAGTCATTGCCCTTTGTTTGGACAATTCTATTATAGAATTGGTCAGTTTGTACGTACAGCGGCATGTGAACCTTATTTATACGATAACATGAGAAGGAATTAGTCCTGGTTTATTTTATTTAGAAGGGACATTGTCCATGGACAGTAGAAATACTATAAGGATGTTTTAGGTCAAGGTAAAGATGACACTTCATTTAAAATTCTTGTTTAAGAAGGAATAAGCCATAGTTTATATAACCTAGAAAGATTAGTAGATGACACCTAATTACTTTGAGGTCATTGAGTCAAACATCAGGGTCACAATGACACTAAATGTAAAATCATTGACCAATCAATAACTTGTATAAAGGGCACTTTTACAAGCAGGTGGAGTACGGGCATCATTGTACTAAAGCACATGTCTAGTTAATTAGGAATATTCATAAAAATAGTGCAATCTGATTGGTTACGACTTAACTATCTCGTAGCCACGACTTAGTAACTCGTGGCCACGACATAGTATTTCGTGGCCACGACATAGTATCTCGTTCCCATGACTTAACTTTCTCGTGGCCACGACTTAATAACTCGTGGTCACGACATAGTAACTCGTTCCCACGACTTAGCTTTCTCGTGCCCACGACTTAATAACGCGTGGCCACGACATAGTATCTCGTGGCCACGACTTAATTATCTCGTGGCCACGACTTAGTAACTCGTGACCACGACATAGTATCTCGTTCCATCGACTTAGCTATCTCGTGGCCACGACTTAGTAACTCGTGGCCACGACATAGTATCTCGTGCGCACGAGAAAAATAAAAACATGTCACCTTTGTGCCACCGTATAAACTAGTTTATACATAGCTTTCCTTAATTGTCAAAGAAAATAACAAAAATACCTGTTTTATTGTGTAAATCCCTTTTATTGCGTTCCTAATAATGTGAATAATACACTATGGAAGAATATGACTAATTTAGATCTAGTCATCTCTTCCGGATCGCGTGATAAAACTTAAGTATTCCCCTTGATATTATAAATAGATCAAAGTTATGTAAAAAAGCTGACGGTGTAATTTTGTTCTCAAAACATAAGCAATTATTTAGCAATACATGTGAAAACTAATAATCACTTGACCAATAACAATTTGAATGTTGTAATTTGATTGAACGTTCAGAGCTAAATTTAAATGAAAATCAATTTTCGTTTATAATTCAAACTAAACTGGTTATCTGTTGAGCTACATAATATAGATACAGTTATGTTACACTGTTGCAATAGATTATATATTATATTCACTATACAGCTATAATCGAACAGTATTATTTTAATTATTTCCTTCTTTTTCTTCATTTTTGTTTATTTTCTACATCATGATCATTTTTAGTCTACATTATCATCATTTTTATTATGTATATGCATAAATTTCAATTTCTATTATTGTCTGTGATTACTATTGTCATTATCATAATTATGATAATTATTATTATGACAATAATAAAAAACAAGAATAAAGATCAACAAGGCAAAGGCAACGTTCACAGGACGCGGCCCACGACACGTTCAAAAAACCTAGAGCGGACATAAGGGTGAAAGGAGTCACCATCATGATCAACACCATCTTTCATATTTATTATAATAAAATTTAATATTATAAATATTATTACTATTATTATCAGTATTATTATTATTATTGTTATTATTTCTGTTTTTGATTTTATCATAATTATATTAATCTTAATCCGCAAGGCTCAATTCATTGCCATCTACACTTCCGGTAATCTTAAGTATACTAAATTGTTAACTGCAACGTAAACATACTTTGTTCCTGTTTGAGAATTGTGTGTGTGAATTTGAAATGTAAAGTCTCAGTTTGTACACAATGTTCACATTTGTACAGCTTACTATTCATACAAAATTAGGATAAAAGTAAGATCACTTCATGAATGATGAAGCAGGAATAACTGCTAATATAAAAACAAATATTGTCAAAATTAATGGTTGATTTCTTTCTTCATAATGATACCAGTTGTATCAACATCCTAAGGTCTTTTTCACCGATAATGTTTATATTCTTTGCTCGCCTTTGAAACCATAGAGCTATCTCCTAGGCGACATGACTAACTCTTTTATGACACAGCTGTCTCCAAGAACATACATCGTATATTTTCTCCATTAACTTATACTTTGATATGATTTCAATCTTATCTCATCTCTAGACCTTATATCTACTTGAAACGTATTTGTTTTATTCTGAATCGCTGTTTAGATGAAAATTGAAGGAAAACTAATCTGTTTCGAGATGAATCGGTCCATTTCAACGCTAAATTCGCTAAATGGGAAACGCCGCCACAACAAAATTTCAAACACAGATATAACAACTTTACATTTTCTGGGAACCTTAATCAAATCTACATCGCATATCATTCTCCGAATTTTAATATTTGGTGTAGAATTTAGAAAATTTATAAAAATTGAAAACACTTGACAGTTGATTTTAGCGACATGCACTAGCTCTGAAGTAGCGTTAGAGCGATTTACCGTATACCTCCGAAAGAGGTAGCCCTATCATTTACCAGGCGTGGTTCTGTACTGATAATATTGGAATTCAAGAATCAGGACGCACGCGATTGAAAAAGGAGGTTTGTTTTTTTGATTTTGTTTAAATGAACTTTATATTTGAGACATTATTTAAAAAAAGGGATTATAAAATAATAGAAATCACTTATGTATTACATTTTCCCCCAGCTTATATTTTATTGAATGTGTGCCTACAGCATTACTATTTACACATTTTTTTATTTGTTATCCCTGTTTTGAGCCCTAGTCCCGAGGGAATATTCAAATGTTTAAATTTGGGATTTTCAATGCCCTGTTAAGAACACAGCGACTGTACATATTTTAGACAATTGTGGGGTCAGACGAAAGTTAAAACATCGACTTATTGTACAAACTTCACGCAAAACGGTGCAAGAAAGAGACAGTCGTTAAAATTCACAAACCATACGCCTTCAGATTTTATGAAAAATAATTAGGCATAACGTTTAACTGTAGAGAGTCTTAGTAGAGCTTAAAATGAATATCTGAGAACATATCATCACTAGTGTACTTTGTAAGGTATATATGAAAAAAAAGTTTGAAAATTATGTGTCTTTCCTTTTGTTTAAAAACAATTTAAATTACCTACAGAATGAATATTGTTGATTGACTTTGCTTTAAAATGATACCAACAAGCGTTCATCATTAGTAGCATTTCTCATCGGAATGTAACCTGGGATAAAAGGTCGAAATTGAGTTTGTGCTTAATAAGTCTTCCTCCTTTAAGATTCCAAGCAGGTAATATTGAACGGAAGTAGCAGTTGATTGTTATTGTATAACTTGGTATAATTTGAAGTATATATATGCTTGCAAGGCAAGATACAAACAAATTTTTATCCCTCGAAAATGCAATCTAAATATCTTTGAATTTCAACTAAGCTGTAATATTTTTGTTCAGCAACTTCAAGCTTTCATTGATTTTGATAGATAAATTTCTCGGGCTGTGCGCCGTACACACGTATATACAGAGGTAAGATTGCAATTTGTATAATAACATGAACAGTTCGTCCTCAAATTTATTCGAACATTATGCAATTCGCATGGACATATTTTCGGCGCAACGAAGATATTTTTCTTTACCTCTGTCTTTGTCTTGAATTTATTTCAAGTATACCAATCATTTCAACTTTACTTGTTATCCTATTTATTTTGCTTCGATCAGACCTTTCAATCTTTGTTGGAAAAGACAAAGTTTTTCAGAATTTCGTGCATGGGATTGCTTTGTGTATTTATACATTAGGTTCTTCTTTTTCACAAAATATGCAACTTAGTTATTAAACAACGAGTACATACCAAGAGTATGGAGAAAAAAATTGTTTAGTGCTTCGGATATTCAACTGTAATTAGGGAACGATTTTCAAGGCTGATTTTGTACATTACCCGTGACTGTTCACATCATTTGGCGGCGTCTTTGATGTGCAGCATCAACATTTAACTTGCTTACTGCACTGATATAGGTGAGAGTTTCATCCCCATGATTAATATTTACTCAGGTCGGAAGCGTTCACAAGGAGTGAGACCTTTAACAGTGTTGGAGCACCACACTTTATTTTTTCCGGTATTTTCAGGAGGTTCCAGCAGGTTTATACATGACTCGTTGGTTATTTGTATGTCCCAAACTATACTTAAACACTTATTTCTTGTTTGAATGCCTTGAGAAATACAAAGTTACCCCGATGCAAACTAAGTTATTCCATATATTTCTTAACACTTCCTGTATTTCCTGAATTACACTACTTTATTTAATATCAGCAGGGACAAGCGTACTTACTAAAAATAACGAAGAAAAAATTAAAATCTAATAATATCTAAATAAATTATACTCGGTCTTAGATAATATGTATGACGTGTATAATATTAAAAATCTGAAAACAAAGTGATCCCTCGGAATTATTAGTTATAAAGGTTGTTGACAGGTTACATTTATATAGTCCTATATAAACGGCTGTTCGTAAATATAACCCGAGCCGCTAGGCGAGGGTTATATTGCAAACAGCCGTTTATATAGGGCCATATAACATGTCAGGAATCTTTATAATGAATTTATAATACAGCAAGCATCATTTTGTTTAGAAAAGTAAGATATTTTCATAAATCGACAGCAGCCTGTATATAATACTGCACGTTTGTAACGTCATTTTTCATTGGATAATCGTGACGTTTATATAGTTTTATATACAAGGCTGTTGTCAATTCACAAAGAAATCTTACCTTTTTTCTCTAAAAATGATGCTTGCTGTAGTATAAATTCGTTATAAAAATTGTTGACAGGTTATATGGCCGTATATAAAAGGCTGCTTGCAATATAACCCTCGCCTAACGGCTCGGGTTATATTTACAAATAGCCGTTTATATAGGGCCATATAACCTGTCAACGTTCTTTATAACTAATAATATACACGTCACGATTATCCAATGAAAAGCGACGTTACAAACGTGCAGTATTATAAGTTCAATTCAATCAAAGTAGAATACATATCTAATTCTAACACGTTAGTTAGCTCGGCGCCGCCATTATGACACTCTTGGACTGGTTCTGTAATTGATTATATATAGCTGTAAGGTAGCTTACTACATCACTAGCTGACATTGGTTTATTTTATCTGGGAGTGAGAAGGTGAAAAAGTGAAAGGGCTCAAGAGAGAGGAATGCACGGGTTTTCTTGTATTATTTTTTGTATTTTTTTTTCTGTTTTCTATCCCAAAAATAATGAAAATGCGATAAAACAGTTATAGTATATGAAACTTGTTAGGCCATTATTCACATCTTCGGGCCTTTATCGCATAATGACGAGTAGCAACCAAGTTTTAACCTTTACAATAATAATTAACTGACTCAGACAACTCACCTATTACACGGGTTATTTGTAGTTGTACAGAGAAGGAGCTATTATGCCTTACAAATTACAAATGACAGATTCTACTTTGTTTACTGAACACATTCTAGAATGCCGAAACAGATATATTTTAAGTGGCATTTTAAACGTCGTTGACATTTGGTCTCTTGTCCCTGCAGCGTAATCAATTTCATAACTGGATCGTCCGGTTCTTTTATATGCGGGAGCAATTCAACTTGTTTGTGGTAGGTTGGTTGTTCTACTTTTGTGTCCGCTTATTTCTGAAACAGCAGGGGCTCCTAAGGTCTCCCTCCACCCCACATGAAAAATATAAATCGGCATGTGGTCTTAACTGCATCTCAACTTATTTATCTAATTGTCTAGTAAATATTGTAACCAAACTTAGTCTCTTCTCCTTAGGTAACATTGGAGAGGTAAGTCTGGCTAAGAAAGTCCTGCATGAAAATAACATTCAGCAGGCCCAAAATAAACACATAAGAATACAGTTTCTACTTCTACTTATTTATTTTTCATTTATTCATTTATTCACAAACACACAAACATATTAAAAGTT